CCAACCCGGCCAAGAGAGGATTCCCAGCCCCGCTCCCGGAGCTCCCAAATCCCAAAAGCCACTCACCGGCTTCACATCCAGCAGGATGGAAGACTTGGCGATGAGTCCCGGCTTCTTGGCCTTCTTCTCCGCGTACTGCCGGAGCCGCTCTTCCCGGACTTTGGCAGCTTCCTGGTCTTCCTCCTCATCATCGCTCCCAAAAAGGTCGATGTCATCATCCTCATCCTCCTCAGCAGCAGCTGGCTCGGATTTCTTGGCCGGGAGCTCCACTTTTTTGGAGGGAACGCTGAACGGTTCCACTTTCTTCACCAGATCCAAGGTTTTTTTAACGGGAAAAAAGAGGGAAAAGATCAACCTGGAGTTGGAGCAAAGCAGCCAGAAAAGCTCAGGAATGGGAATCTCTCCTGCTGCTCAGGACACTGAACCATCCTCGCGCTGTGGGATTTATATGGATTTATCAAAACGGGAAGTTTGTCCACATGGATCTATGGTTGTAATTCCTAGAGAAAAATTCCAGCATTTTTCCAAGGCTCACCTGGGTTGGAGGAACAGATGAGGGCTGGTGGGAAGTTGAGGATTTCTCCAGAGCGTTCAGGCGGCTTTCCAGCTTGAAAATGGCCATCTGGAGGTCTGCAACAACTGGGAAAAGCGAGGGAAAAACGGGAAAAATCACCTTAAATTCCCAGCTGCACGTCAGGTCTCCAGCCAGGACAAGGAATTCTCCCACTCACCACTGCGGAGGTTCTGGTTTTCCACTTCCAGGTGGGAAATTCGGGACAGGAGCTCATTTTGGTCACCAGCAGCTCCAGAGGAGGATGTGCTTGCACTCTGCAACGAGGAAAACCGGGATGAAATTTGAGTTGTTTCCCCTCCTCCCGAAAAATCCACAAAGCAAAGCAAGAGTCGTGTCCTCGGGGAGAGAGGAAGTTCAGGAGCTGAACTAAAACCAAGGATATTTTCCCTAAATTAGGATAGAAACTAAGGGAGAAGCTCTATACAATAAAGCATGGACTAAATCCCAAGGAATTTAGGAATTTCAGCTGGCACCAAGGAGCAAAGGACAAAATCACTTTTCCCACTCTCAGATCCCAAAATGCCACTAAACCCACATAAAATTTATATAAAATTTCGCACCAAGCCCCTTAAAAATCTTGGAGTCCCCTGGTCTCCTCTCCCAACCCACTGAGGGACAGGAATGACCTACCTAAAGTAACACTGGGAAAGCTGGAAAGATCCCAGGAATTCTACACTCCCACCTCCCCCAGACCAGCCTTTAATTCCTAACAATTTCAATCTGCTTTAACACATCCTGAGGGAATAATTATTCCAACTCTGGTTTCAATGGATTTTTTGACAGCAAAAAAAAAAACACCTTTTTTTTTTTAAGGCTAAGGAGGTTCCTTATCCATCAATTCCAGGCAACAAAGGGAAAGAAAATAACAGGATCTGCCCTTGATTCGTCATTTCTAAGTGAAGAGAGAATAATTTATTCTCTTTTACTCCAGTGTGGAATCTCAGCAGTCACATATGATGGAAAGAGGGAAAAGCAGGGATAAGATGAAGAATACAAGGCACAAGGAAAGGTCTGAATCATGGGAATGGTTTAGGCCGGGATTTTAAGGATCACCCAGACCGCGTTCCACTATCCCAAGTGTCCAACCTGGCCTTGGACACTTCCAAGGATGAGGCTGGGAAGTACCAGGGGGGTGGGAAAAAATTCCATCTGCGGTGGCTGAGCTGTGGATTGAGGCTCAGGAAGGGGAGCGCAGATCCCTGGACACGGAGCTGGGACGAGATCCCATTCTCCAGGTTTATCCCAGCGCCAAAGGACAAACCCTGAGGAAGGAGAAGTTGCTCCGTCCTCGCCCCACCCAAATCCTCTCCCACTTTTCCGCAGGCTCCATCCATCCATGCGCGGCTCACTTACTCCAGAGCGTCCCGACTGTTTCTTGGGACGGGCACAAGGAGCTTCCTTGCTGCGAGCAGGGCTCTTCTGCTGCAGGATGGGGGAAAAAGTTTGGGAAGATGGGGAAAAGGTTTGGCAATTCCAGAGGGAGCTCAAGCGCAGGGAGGAGCCGCATGCAAGGGGAAGTTACGCAGCGGTGGGAAAACAGCCTTGCACTGCAGGCAAACATTCCCTCGGGAATTCTGGGATCCTCTCCACGAACATCTCGGTGCCTGCAGGGAGCTCGTGCAGCGCTGTGGGCTCATCACACCATGCCAGATGCTCCAAGGATGGAAATCATGGAATTTCAGAGGTGGGGAAAATCCCATCGAGTCCCACAGTTCCCCCAGGGCCACCACGGAGCGCGTCCCCAAGCGCCACATCCACAGGGATGTTAAATCCCTCCAGGGATGGGGCCTCCACCCCATTTCCATGAGGAATTTTCCTAATATTCCAGCTGAATTTCCCCTCTGGTGGTTTCCTCTCATCCCGTCATTCCCTGGGAGTAGATGCTGATTCCCCCACTTGGGAATCCTGTCAGGGATTTGTGGAAGTGAGAAGATTCCCTGCCCTGAGCCTCATTTTTTTTTTCCAGGCTGAGCTCTCCCAGCTCCCAGAGCTGCTCCTGGTGGCTCCAGACCCTTCCCAATCCATTCCTTTCCATGGAAAACACTCCAGCCCCTTCTTGTATCCCAGGATTGGAGGTGCCCCAGCAGTGTCAGCACAAGGAGAGATTTCCCTGTCAATAACAATTCCTAAAAAAAAAAACAAAACAAAAAAAACCCCCAAAAAACCCCCAAAAAACAAAAAAAAAATACAAAACCCAAAAAAACACCAAAAAAATAGGGAAGAGCATGGGAAGAGCATGGATACCTGTCCCAAGCTGAAGCAATCAAGAGATCTTAATTGGAACCCGTAAGACAATGCAAGAAGGCACAACCATGTCCCAAATCCTCAAAAATTATGGAAAAATTGTCTTTATGAGACGGTGAGATTTTCCCTGAGGAGAGGATGCTCCAAGCTTTGGGAATGTGGACGCCATGCCTCCACTACAGCACACAAAAACCATTCCCTCCTCCAACTTCCAGCTCCACACAAGCATCCCTGAATTTTATCAGGGATTAGAATTCCAAATTCCAGGGGTGGGGAGTTCACTCCTTGTATAAAGCCCTCAAATCCTTCATTTCCAAGCCATAATTTCTGTGCTGAACCCACCTTAAAGCTGCAGCCTGTCTCAAATATTTTGCTTTGGGAAGGCTGGAATTGTGCATAAATTTAATTATCCAAACAAATTAATTCCCTGGGAATTATGAAGGGTACAAAACAGGACTTCGGACCAACAGCTTGGGATATAAACATCTGTTATTCCCTGAAGTTTGAACCCCTAAAATACATTTTAAATATCAGAAACAATAAATTTTCCCTCACATTCAGGTGGAATCTCCTGTTCTACTTCCTGCTTTTCCTCACAATCAAGGAACTCCAGACTCTCATCATATTCCAGGTGCTCATTCCTACATTTTATAACACAATCCAAGCCTGAAATTCCCAGCAAAAAGGCACTAAAATCCCATTTTCCCATCTTTCCACAGCCAGCTCTTCCCTTGCCACATCCTAAGACCTCTGACAATAACTCTGGAGGAAGAAAAGACAAAAATCCTGGGATTTTTGCTCTTCCCGCTTTTCTCTGGATCACACAATGTAAATTTGGGGGTTGGGAATGCAAGGAAGAAGTTTAGGAATATCCTAAAGTCCAGCCTGGTGACCCAACATTAATGATGATCCTTGAGGGATATTCCAACTATTTTTCAGCCACATGGAAGATCCAACCCCTTCCCCAGGAACAAAAAACATCCAGCAGAGGAATTTTTTTACATCACTAATCCCCAAAAAGGTCTCCACACAATTTATATCCCAAAATTCCTGTCCTGGCTTTGGGCTGTTGCTTTACCAATTCCCTGTGACAGCACCTGGATGATCCAAACTTTTGGGATTCCCTCCCAAAAAAAGCTCTTTCACAGGAGTCAGGAAAGAAATTCCTCATCTTTGGAAAAACACCCTGGAAGATGAGGATGAGCAGCACTTCCAGGTGATTTGTAGATTCCCTGCCCCTTGCCCAATTCCAAAAGTTTCTCCCAAAGGAATTTTTTACCCTGTTTGGGATGGGGGCTCCTTTAGCCGTAGCTTTTTTTAATAAAATGAGCCAGTTTAGGAAAATTTTTCCTTAAGCTGTTGGCTGAATTCCTGATTCTTTATATTCATCCCAAATGTCTGTCTCCTTTCTGCTGGTGTAAGGAGGAATATGGAATATTCCCGTTGGGAAAGGGGGAATTCCTTGTTATTCCCTGATATTGGACTGATCCAAGATAGAAACTGAGGCTGCTAAACATTCCAAGAGGGAATTATGAGACCAAATAATGGATGGATTCATCTGGGAGTCCCATTGCAGAGGCAGGAAATCAAGACACCTGGGCTGTATTCCATGGATTTTCCTTTCCCATAAAACCACTAATTAGAATTTTAACTTTTAAACTTTCTTTTACAAAAATCAATTTTTTTTCATGGTTTTGTCTGCACTCAGCACAAGAGCACCTCCATAAAATACATTCCTGAGCTCCTCCAGGATGCTCCAGCCTCAGAGCTTGTAGTCAAGCTGAATTCCCTGGATGCAGCAGATGGAAAACACCAATTTTGGGTTGTTTTTTTTTTTGCACATCCCCCGAACTGGAAGAAAAACAGGGAAGAGAAGGTGGCAGCCCAGTGTATCCCAAAAAATAAAAGCCACACGCTCAGCGGGTTGGAACCTGTTAGTTAAGACCCATGGGAACATCCCACCAGGAAAAACAACAAAAACAAACAAACAAACAAAAAAATTAAAAAAAAAAAAAGGGGGGGAAGGAAAAGCCCAATTTAGGGAATTCTTTTAATCCAAATCCAGTTTTGGCAGCGCTGCGGGCGAGCAGCGCGCGGGGACGGGGCGGAGCTGCACACCTTGGTCTTCTCCTCTACCTTCCAACCAAGAAGCCAAATGATTTTTTGGGATTAGAATTCCATAAAAAAAGAAAGAGAAAAAAAAAAAACCAAAAATGGGAATGCAGGCAGCCAGCTGGTGAGAGCTTGGGTACTCACTCCGGCCAGCGATTTCTGGATATTCTCCCTGGCTCTGGCAATGTCGCGGAGGATCGTGCTGGCTCCGTTCTCCTGCAAACAGCGCAGAAAGAACCAAGAGTTTCTTTTTTAAAAAAAGGTATTAAAACATGGGGGAGGAAAAAAAAAAAAAATTTCATCAAGGAAGTTAAAAAATATAAAACAAAAGGAAGGAGGAGCGAGGGAATCAGGAAAATTGGGAATTGTCCTTTCCGTGATTCAGTGATTTTTTGCCGTAAGGATTTGGGGCTAAATCAGGCAATCCCTGGTCATGTGTACAGAAGGATCATCCAGTCAAAGAGCTTTTAAATTCCCTATAATTAACCCTGAAAAGTTTGGGATGCTGCCAGAAGGTTGGAGTGACTCCAGAACTCCTTAAAAACTCAGCCTCCAGCAGGATTTTTCCATATTATCACCCGAGGAAGTGACAACCCTGACTCTGCTCTATCTACCCAGAACACCAGGAATTTTTTTTCCCTATGCTCCCTGCTGCCATGCCTTAGCCTGGATTTCAAGATTCCCTCCCTTGAAATTCCATGATCTGTTCACTCCTTGCTTTTCCCAGACTGCAACCCTCACCAGCAAGACCCGAGAGGTGAAATTTCCCACTAACCCCCAAATCCTGAGTTAAACAGAAAATACAGGAAAAACACCCTGGACACATCCAGGTGGGCTCCAACTTCCTGCTGCTTCCAAGGAGGTTTTAACAACATTTTTTCCATGGTGGAAGTGGCTGATAAATTCCTCCAAACATCCTTCAAACCACCTCTCCCAGGCCAAACTCCTTCACTGGAAGCTCCTGATGTGCCTTGAAATAGTTGAACTGTTCCAAGAGGGTTTTCACTCCAAAACCTACTTCCAGCACTCATCCAGAGCTCCCAATTTTTTTTTTTTATTCCCGGTCTCCCAGGTGCTGTGCCAGCACCTAAGCCAGGATGGGCAGCAGGAATGTGCCTAAAAGTTTGTAATTTCAGCAAAAAAGCTTCCCTGTAAACACTTGGAAAGAGGCACTGAACACTCAGCATTCCAAAGGCACAAGCAGTTAGGTGCAGGAAGAGGTTAGGAAAGCTCTGAACCTTGGATCAGGAATAATTTTGGGATGATATTGAAGCTGGAAATGTTGCAGCTCAGCAGGATCATGCTTCCCCCCACCCTCCACCTTTCCCTCCCCAACTCACCGGTACCACGAACAGTCTTCCACTGGAACACCTGGAATATTTCCAGGAGCACAAAGAGAGGGATAAAAAAAAATCCACCCCCCAAAAAAAATCTTTGCAGCTGTGGTGCCCCTGTTCAAACTTTAGGTTTGTATTCCCTTGGAATATCCCAAAGGATTGCTCCAGAACAGAAGCAAAGCAGCATTTTCCCTGGATGAAGGGGGGGCAGGGATGCTCTTTGCCAATAAAATTGGGGATTTACAGCTCAAACTGTGCCCCCACGGATCCCAGCAGCCTGGAAAAATTATGGATAACTACTGGAAGCTGGGACTGGTTCACCTGTTAGAAGGGACACCTGATCTCCCAGTTCCTTGGGATCAAATCCATCAGATTCCACAGAAAACAGCAGGAAAAAAAAAAAAAACAAACGGGTCTTAAACAGCTCAGAGAGCTCCAGAAAGATTTGGGGAAAAAAAACAGCACTGAGAGTGGAAATCCCACAAAAATCCAGGTGGATCACGTCCTTTAACTTACTCTGGAATTCCTGGGATTGGGAATTACCTGCTGGTGGGAGGGGCCACCCACGGGGCCGTTCATCTGCTCGTAGAACCGTCGCTCGGCGTCGTCGTATTTGAACTTCTCAAACCAGATCTTGTCGTGCAGGAAGTAATCCACAGCCATTTTCCTGGGAAAAATATCCACAAAAAGTGAATTCCCGCAAGGATTGAAGGCCAACAGCCCGTCAGGAGCGGGTTCTGTGCCTGCAGCTCGGCTTGGCTGCGGATTTAAGTATCCAGGATCCTCTTAAAAATCAGGACAGATTAATCACCCACCTGCCTGACCTGGGTGTGGAGTGGGGATGGGATGAATCAGCTGATCCAGACTATATTCCACAAAAAAAAAAAAAAAAATCCAAAAAACCACCCCAGGATTTTCTAGATCATGCTAAGGAAAATGTCTTGCGTAGGAGAACAAAAAGGGAATTGAAATCATGGAATGGTTTGGGTTGGAAAAGACCATAAAGATAATTTAGATCCAACCCCTGCCATGGGACATCTTCCATTATCCCAGGTTGCGCCAAGCCTCATCCAACTTCTCCCTGGATATTTCAAGGGATGGGACATCCAAAAGTTCACTGGGAAATCTTTATTAAAAATCAGCAACACTTGGAGAGGACAGACCTGACACTACATGGCCTCAAATCCTGCTGAGAATTGGGAATTTTTATGGAGCAGTGTCCAAAGGTGGGTTGAATTCTAAATTTGAAGGGAAACAGAGGAAAAGAGGAAATGCCTGGAATTCCAGCAAGGGACAGAGCCAGCAGAAGTTTGAGGAGGTGGAGAGCAGCACAAGAAAACCACAACTGGAGCAGGCTCCACAAAGCCTCTCCCCATCATCCCAAATCCCATCGTTTTCCATAAAACACTTCCAGGGAAGCCAGAGATGATTTTCCTGAAATTAAATCCCTCCCTTATCTCATCTACCCACTTGGAAGAGCCCAAAGGCCACCAGACACAGGAGCTGCAGCAAAACCACTTTCCACACCCAAATCTCCAGGACCTGCTGGAATTCCAGCCAGGATAATTTGCAGAAAATCCCAAATACGGCCAAATTTATCCCATGTTTTCACAGAG